GCCAGTTGTTATACAATCCATCCCATTGAGATTTCTCCCCCTAGATCATAAAACAAACAAACAAACAAAAAAACCCGCATCTGAACTCTTTTCCTAAGAAAGCAGAAAACTAAATAACCAAATAAACTTAAAGCTTCAAGACTTCTCTATTTTTTGCACCTGTCATAAAGGAAACAGATAGAAATGGAACAGGGAGACTGATTACTGAAGATATAATTCAGTGTCAGAGTTCTGATGATCTCATAAACCATTATGGGTCTGTCAAAAATTCTTGACTGAATTACAGGCATGTTATTAATCTCTTTTAATCCATCTTCATACATGTTACCAGTGTCTCTCTGGCCATTATCCCATGCACAAAATCAAGGTAAAATTAGACTTTGATCATTTCTGCTGGGCTGAAGTTTGCCTTTATTTCTTTACAGTAAGTTTTACACAGAAGAGTAGTGTTACTGCTCTCATGCATTTCTTTAACCTTCCCACAAGAAACTTCTAAGGATTTGAAAGTCAAATAAAAATTGAACTTCCTAAAAGATGATAAACAGGAAACATTTTTAACAACTCTCTACCTTCTTTTGTGTATTGATTGACAAGTTTTCTTTTCCTAATTTTATAGAGGGAACCTGTTCAGCTGCCAAAACACAGTTTGCACGTGCTTGCTCATTTACACTCTACAGTTCCCAGTACTCACACCACAGGAGAGAATGATCACCAACCCTTATAAGCATTTCACTGGATTAATAGATGTTAGCAACAATTATATTAGGTAATAATTGATCAAATCTGTCGAACTTTGGGTCATAAATACTTGTACTGGGTGTCCATGGCAAGGTGCTGGCAGTGTGGGGGCTGCAGGATGGCCTCTGTGGGAAGAGACCAGGGACTGCCCCATGCTGGACACAGACAATTCTAGCTGGCTCCAATGGACCTATCATAGGACACAGCTGAGTCCCTCAGCCAAGTGTGTGGTGGCACTATAAAAACTTTTTTAAGAAAGGGAAAAAAATGCCAGAGAAAGGGAGAGAGAAAAAAAAAGAGTGAGAAAGAGCAGAGAGAAAGCCGAGGTCCCAGCAGGAGGAGGAGAATGTGCTCCATGGTGGAGCAGATTGACACACGGCAGCTTGTGGAAGACTCATGGTGCTGCAGGTGGATATTCCTGAAGGAAGTGCAGCCCCTGGAGACCCCATACAGGAGCAGAGGAAAAGTAAGAAGAGGAAGGAGAAGCAGTTAGAAACCACATTGTACGGGCTATAACTCCCCCCCCTCCTTGCACTGCTCAGGGCTGGGAGTGGAATCTGGATGGAAGGAGTGAAGCTGACCTTGGGAAAGGGGGAAGGAAAGATGTTCTTTTAATGTTTTTGTTTCTCACTACCCAAATACATATTGGCAAGTATTAAATTAATCTTCCCTAAGTACAGCCAGTTTTGAAAAAATTAGGAAACTGTAAACAATCTCACTGCTTGCTCCATGAGCTTTCTTAGCCTATTTTCTCCCAGTGTCATGCTGAGGAGGGGGAAGGAGTAAGCAGCTGGAGGGGTGTTTGGCTAATAGCCAAGCTTAGCCCACCGCAAGACGTCACAGTGACTTTCTGTTTTCCCTTTTTAGACTGTTCAGACTAATTCAATATCATAATTTATTAAATTGTTGCCTGCCAGTGACTACCATCTTTTGCCCATCTGAGAATCAAACATCAGATACCTATTACATGAGCAAGGATACTGATGCAATTGCTCTGAATACCGTCAGCTACTATGAGTACACCAAAGGCCAAAAACTTTGCAGCATTATAAATCAGTTCACAAAAGTGTTCCTTTAATTGTATGTTCAGCTTCCAAAGCTGCCCTTAAAATGTTCATTCTGGGAAGCTAACATTCTAGACTAAAGCAGAAGAATTTGTGTAGCCTACCTCCCAGATCACTGCAAGTATAAATTAAGTGTTGGCCTCCAGAGAAACAAGGAAACATAATAGAAAATGCCAATATTCTTCTTCTTGACCTTTTGGATCACGCTGACACGTCATTTCTTCCAGTTTATGTTGCTAAATAAAGTCATTTGCACAGCCCAAAATTTTTTCCTTAGGTTGTATATGAACCATTACCCAGGAACCTACACTCAGTGTCTTTCAACCCCATTGAATGGGAGACTGCCAGAAAGGAACAACATTTTTGAGCTTTCCAAGAGAAACACTGGTCCCTGATGGGACGCCCCCACAAGTGCTGAAGGAGCTGGCAAATGTCGTTGCTGAGCCACACTCCATCATCTTTGAGAGGTCCTGGAGGACAGGAGAGGTGCCCAAGAACTGGAGAAAAGCCAATGTCACTCCAATCTTCAAAAAGGGCAAGAAGGAGGACCCAGGGAACTACAGGCTGGTCAGCCTTACTTCCATCCCTGGAAAAATGATGGAGCAACTCATTCTGGAGGTCATCATCAAGCAAGTGGAGGAAAAGGTTATCAAGAGCAGTCAACATGGATTCACCAAGTGGAAATCATGCTTGACCAATCTGATAGCTTTCTATGATGGTGTGACTGGCTGGGTAGATGAGGGGAGAGCAGTGGATGTTGTCTGCCTCGACTTCAGCAAGGCTTTCGACACTGTCTCCCATAACATCCTCCTAGGGAAGCTCAGGAAGTGTGGGCTGGATGAGTGGTCAGTGAGGTGGACTGAGAACTGGCTGAATGGCAGAACTCGGAGGGCTGTCATCAGTGGCGCTGAGTCTAGTTGGAGTCCGGTAACTAGTGGTGTCCCCCAGGGGTCAGTACTGGGCCCAGTCTTGTTCAGCTTGTTCATCAACGACCTGGATGAAGAGTTAGAATGTAACCTCAGCAAGTTTGCTGATGACACCAAACTGGGAGGAGTGGTAGATACACCAGAAGGCTGTGCTGCCATTCAGCGTGACCTGGATAGGCTGGAAATTTGGGCAGAGAGGAACCTGATGAGGTTC